AGAAAATGAGATTATGTGTGTTTTTGTATTTCCAGGGTTTTTCTGAAGCTGTAACAACTAAAATAGTTTTGAAGTTGCATTTGAGGATAATTCTTATGGAAGATCTGAGTTTTGTGGCAAACTTTGGAGCCATGGAACACAGAAACACTGGAAGCTTGCTTTGGTTTTCTAATGTTTTAAATATTTTAAAATTCTGTTTTTTAAAAAACTATATTGGCTAAGGTTGGCATACAGCCTTCAGGCAAACAATCAGAAAATGGAGCAGACAGGCTACTACTACTTTTTGCTCCAAAGCCTTTAGTTTAAGATTTTGCTGATCAAAACAGTTCCCAAAGTCTAATGGTGAATATAATACTGCATTGCTAAATTAAATTTTATTTAAATGATCCTTTATCTCTAAAGAAGGAGGTCAATTTACTGTTGCATGGACACTTCTCATTGACTGAAGTGACAAATCCTTGCACGTTCTCTGAAGAATCATTGTAATGCTGAAACTGTAGCAATTAATACATTCTATGAGGAATAAACTTGATAAACATCAATTTCTGCTTTAGTTAGGTTTCAACAATATATGTTTCAAGTGATTGCTTACTTTGATTTCAAAAACAGAAGGAAGATTAAAGAAGGTACTGTTTGAAACTGAGAGAACAATGTAACACGCATTTTGACAAACTGTTGAAATTGGATCAAAATAAAATGTTTTTAAAGCATTTTCAGATTAATGAACCTAGTGCTTAGGGCAAATAAGCAGTGCTTAAAGACATGTAAAAAGAAATTTCATACGTAAATATGTCATTGTATTCAGAGTGTTTGTGTTAAATTTTTTTAATTTAGTTCCTCTGAAAACAACAGCACTTCTGCAAAGTTAACAAAATAGCTAGAAATGTAATGGCCAATTGCCAAATAACAAGCACTACAATAATATAATTCTAAAGTTAAAAATTAATGTTTATTTAAATCAGAACTTGTGTTACAGAAAATTTGTGTAACCATTGTATGTTTACTCTTTCATCACTGAGAATCTGTTATAATTGATATATGTATTGGGTGGGTACATGAATTTTTCTCCAGGTGATGTTTTTTAACCAGTTTATACTTTGTTTGAATCTAGTTACTGAATGAAAGGTATTTAGTAAGTATCCTACAGTCAAATCATTCATTTTAATTCCTGTAGCTTTAAGGCAGTACAGCATAAACACTATTTTGATTCAGTGTGCTTGAATTCTTTGAAGAGAGCAATACTCTAGCTCCATGGTGAACAAATGACAATGGATTTCCTTTTGCTCTTTTTTTGTTCTGTAGTGTAATGTTATTTAAAAAACAAAAGGTTCAGTTGCATTTAGGTCAGTTATTAAAATATTGTTGGTCATTTCCTTTGACAGAACATTTCTATTGTGTTATACCAATGTCATTAGGAGGAAAGGTTATTCCCACTTGTCTGGCTGATATCAATACAAACTGGCATATTATATCCTCTGGCTTTCTGGAAATGCTTTATTTGAGCAGCAGCTTGGGAACAGAAAATTTAAGGTTATACACAGTCTGGTTTCAGACTGCATGATACAAAATGTGTTTCCTAGAAGACACTGTCTACCTGGTGTATTTTTCTCCAGTATTTTGTAGCATCGGATAAGCTTGAATGGGTTTGAGTTGGGAATGAAGTTTTGCCAGCTGTAGATGGCAGACAAAGTAGAACAAGGCTCTCAGTCAGTGCGTAGTATTTGAGGAACTTACATGAGCTGCGTTGTATCTTACCCATGTACCAATTACTCTGGAATGTAGTTTACCTTTTAAGATATGGCAATGATCCCCATTTCATAGGTGTTCTCACTGTCTAGCAGGAAAAAAAATACAGAGTACTTCAAGTCATGGTCAAATGTGAAGTCTGTGACACTGTGGTAGCTTCTAAAGGCAGAGGTTCAAAGATAGCATCTTAGCCATGCTGAGCAGCCCTTTCTTCCAGAATCATAGTGAACAGGAGAACAGGAGTACGGTTTAATCCCGTAACTGTTCATTGAACTGTTCATTCATCTATGTAAAGCAAAGCAAATCGTGGTCAGCTGTTATGCCCTGTTGTGTTTCTTAAGCTGAGCCTGTCAGTCTTGGGTGAGTCTGTAAATCAGGCAAACCTCAGGTCATTTTCAAATCTGTACTCTAGCGGTAAGTGTTCCCCTAAGTGCTCCATCCGCATTCATAAGATTATAAGTTTGGGTTGTTTTTTTTTTTTTTTTGTATCAAAGCAAAAACAAGACTATGTTTCTGAAGAATATGAGCACCACCTTCCAAAATTCTGTTTCCCCCAACCATTTTCATGTGACAGGAATATATGTTCTTCATCCTAGTCATAGGAATGAGTGATGCGTAGACAGTTAATGCAGCAGTGCCAGCCACAGTCATTCAAAAATCATGAATCATGTTGCTGAAAGTCATGACAGTGGTCTAAAAACCATGTTTATGAGATACAAAATGGATTGTATGTCTAAATTGTTTTTCTTTTATTTTTGTCTCTTTTTTTTTCTGTATGTAGGTAGTGCATACACAGATTTCTTTGCCTCTCTGGTAGCAGTTAACTTAAATGAAAAGGGGTGGTGGGGATGGGTAGAATGTAGCTGAAATTCTTTTAAAATTGGTCCCCTCCAGGACTGGGGACTTTAGGAAAAACAACATGTGGTAAGATTTGATATAAAATTGCCTTAGTAAACATTACTGATTTTTTTTTTTCCTCCAAAAAAAGCAAGATTTTCAAGGAAGCAATACATATTTCATGTCACTTTCACTGACAAATTAGACTTGTATGTTTTAAGTGGTGATGTTGAAAATGAGAAATTAATTTTGATAACATTTGAATATATATGACTTTAGAGAGAAACAAATACAAAGTTGTGTAAAGAGAAATGCTTGAAGTATTAAGCCATCATACACATTGCTGAAGTCTATATAAAACTATTCCAAAGGCATATATCATGAACTACTGTCATCAGAGATAATAAAAATTATAAGCATTTTTAATGGAAATAGCCACATAGTTAGAGATTAGGCTACAAGTAGATTTCATTGTAGAGCTGAAGGTATGGTGCCTCTTGAATAACTGATTAAGCTTTCTATCTGCCTTTCCAGAGTATCAGAAGATAAAATTTCTAAGCAACTTGTTAATTTCTTTTCATGTCAGAACCATGGAGTCTCACCTTGATAAAATCCTCAGTTTCAGTTTGAGCTTTTTGTAAACCTCTTCACAGAATCAAAAAATAGCTGAGGTTTGGAAAAAGCCTTTAGAGCTCATCTAGTCCAGCTCCTCTGCCTGGGCAGGTCAGAGAGCAGATTGTCCAGGACCTTGTCCAGTTGGGTTTTGAATATCTCCAAGGGTGGAGACTCGACAACCTCTCTCTGCAACCTGTTCTCTTGTATTTATTAGTCTTAGTGTTACACAAAATACAGCTTGTATATTTTAGGTGACATGGTTTTTATCCAGCTTCATTCATTTACTTAACCCAGGTTAAGAAACATATTTTTTTTTTATGTATTTGAATACAAGGCAATGTTAAGATAGCCACTTCAAAGTACAGAAATATTTTCTGTCCTTTTATCGTAGAAAATGCTGCATACCAAACCAGTTTTTCCACTGACGAGGCAAAAAAGGACTAAGGCTTTTTTTGTCTTTGCTGAAGAATGTAAATTATGAATATAAATTGTTTATGAAATGTCTGCAACTTCCAGGACGAAAGTAACCATACCATCTGTAACTACTTTGAATTCAGATACTGATAAGTAATTTTATTAGAAGCTACTGTATTATATCTTCACTTAATTGTAAAATGCAGACATCTTTGCCAACTCTAAGGATCTTAATGTTAACTGTACATTCCGTGCAATTTAAAATCCTGTTGCAGCTAGTTTATTGTCATATGTCTATGTGAGATTCAGAAACACAGTTTTAATTTTGCTTATACTCAGAGCTGACCAGAAGCCATATGACTATGTTAACATGCCTTGATCTTGTATCAAGAAGACCTGTTGAGGACCTAAATACAAAGCATATGAGGACCTAAGTACTTTCACATCAGAACTGTCTCATGTCCTATCAGCATGGAGTACAGGGCAAGTCCTCATCTGCCCTTAACATAAATCCATTTTAGGTCAACCAGATGTAGACGTGCAACATTGATCATGTTAGGTATGGTTTGTAACACAGAAAACCTTCCTGAATAAAACTTACTGTGCATGGAAGACTGGTCTAACCCAATGTTAGAGTAGTTGAACTGAGAGGTAATATTGCTACTGTGCTACTGACAGTTGTCTTAATTGTATAAACAGTTACATTTCTGTTAACTGTGTTTCTTAAGATACAGTCAACTTATAATAAAAACCTCTGCTAGGCACACTGAAGAGACTTGTGTATGGATGGCATTTGTATTGAGGGGATGAGTCAAGGTAACTATAGTGGAGAGACAGTCAAGGTGAAGTAAAGCACAAGGTTGAGGGAACAGAAGAGAACCCACTTGCTCCATCACTGTCAATACTGTATCCACGATTCGAATAATGGAGCAGAGTAGTTTCCATAGTTGATGTTAATTTGGCATACTCATTTAGCTGACTGCTTTTTGAGTCAGATACTGTACAGGGTGGTACTTACCTGAGCCCTGTATGCTTCATATCAGTTCTAATTTTTTGAATTCAAACTTTTTAAGTTTTCAGATGCAACATTACAATTTTAGGGAAGAATAGAATGGTAATTTGGACCTATTTATGCCTGGTAGTAGCCCTGTTTTCAGTTTTCTGGTAGGTACCTGTATGGACTCCTACTTGATGTTAAGGCTTGCTTTTGCCTTTTGACCTGGTTTACTTCCAAAGCGTGATACAACCTTTGCATTTAATATTGTGGTTTAGCTTTGTCACAAAGCTTCCACGTGCACGTGTACCTCTGCTATCAGTATAGAAGGGGAAGTGCTTGTCTTTCTATTGCTGTAAACAGTTTTGATCTCTGTTCTTTTCTAATCCAACAGAATTTAGCTTCTTGGAATCCTTCTAACCCTGAATGCCTCCTGCTTGTTGTGAAAGAGCTTGTACAGCAGTATCACCAATTTCAGTGCAGCCGATTGCGTGAGAGCTCTCGCCTCATGTTTGAATATCAGACTTTACTTGAAGAACCCCAGTATGGAGAAAACATGGAAATCTATGCTGGCAAAAAAAACAACTGGGTAAGCTATTAAGAATATTGCTGCTAAAATGCCTTTAAGTGATCCTTTAATTTTCAAAAATACAGCTCTTGCCTTGGAAAACTGGAGTTGTTTCTGTGGATGTCCACGCTTTATTTCCAATGGAGAAAACTTCTGTTTGACTCCAGCTCACTTGCTATACTCCCTGTTTTGTATATTGGTGTCATTCCACTACCTTGGTTGAACCAGATTTCCAGGTGAGGAACTGTTGTTCAACCTGATGTTAGTTCATCTGATTTATAGATGAAAACTTTGAAGACTGTTGAAAAGCCTCTGCAGTATTTACAGGACAGAGTACAATGTTATGTGGAAGTCTGAGTTAGCTCTGCAGATTTGAGAAGCAGAATAACAGTGTTGGATTAACACCCTGCCCAGGAAAATCAGCCTGCTTAGGGGTAGGATGTATTCGGGTGTAGTTCCACATTACAATTGAGGTGATTTAATTGGTAACTGCAGCTGCCTATATCTCTCTGGCACCTGTCTAAGCTGAGTTGAGTTGTTTGATAAACCTCTACTTGAGAGGGGAAAAAAGACTCCAACTAATTTTTAGCAGAAGGACGGGAGGAGGTGAGATGGGCTAGAGCAGTGACTTTGTAGGGCCATGTCTTCATACAACAGTGAGACATAAACTGGCTTATCTGTTTCCTGAAGATGTATCCTTTGCTTGGGAAATGTGCAATTCTGTGTAGAAATACTCTATGTGTACCATCTCAGCCTTCTAAAATGAGGCTATTGACATTGTAGACATTTTGGTTAGTGTGTGATTTCACTTTTTAAAATTTTTTTAAACTGATATCTACCACAGAGTAAGCTTTGCAAAAAGCAGATTTTTCCATCGGTAAGATATTTATCACAGGAAGTTTAGGATAAGATATATATCAGGAAACATCTAATCGTGTTTATGCTAAATGTGTTCCCCTCTTGCTTTCAGCAATAGCATACTCTTAAGATATACTGGCCTTCAGAAGTGGTATCTTCTGAAATAGGTGCAATCTCAAAATCGATAAAATTCAACATTCCTGTTATCAGGGCCTAGAATTCAGCTTTGTGTTACTTTAATCATCCTTCAATTGCAGGTGGTGCAAGGATGTCTACTTTACAACTTAGAATTCTTATATTCATCTGTTTTTATTTTCTTAGAGAAGTCATCTAGGTTTTTTTATTTTAAGCAAAGTAGAATATTTTTATCAGAATTTCAGATCTCTATGTTTATAGATCAGAATATTTAATTGAAATTAATTTGTTCTTAAATGTTATTCTCTATAGCTCTCATCACAAACAATTTGCCACATTTGTAAATATCAGACTGGTTTATTGAAATGTAGAAGGCTTTCTGAACCGTACTGAAATTTTATCATAATTTGTTGCAGCTGCCAAAATTCTACTCAAATTGTAGAAAACTAGGGGTTTTTTCCTCATTTTTTTTTTTCTAGGAAAGCCATATCTACTCGAGCCTTTTGAAACTTTCCTCAGTATTTGGTAGCTGAATAAAGAACATTTTTTCACATTTGAATTGCTTTCTTAGTTAAAAATGTTCCAGTAAATTAAATTTTAAATACATTTTGAGGCAAATCCTTTTAATCATTTCAGAGCTATTTGATGTTTCTGTACCATGTGGGTTTTTTTCAAAGTTTACATTCTCTGTCAAGAAGACCCTGAGAATCCTGTTTGGAGGTTCTGTGAACCTGGTATCTACATGACAGGGTCTTGTTTTTGAGTGTCCTAAAACTCAAAACTATGAAACTAACTTGTGTAGTTCTCCTTCCTGTCCTTTACAACTGTCTTGTTAGTCTTGATGATGAGCACAATAGGAGTGTTTATTTGAAAAGCAAGAGGTAAACTGCATGTTGCTTCCTCTGCCTAGAAGTCATTGCAATTCATGTTGTTACTGTCTCTTAGGAATTGATAGTATCTCAGCAGACTTCTGTAGTAATCATCTGTGAAGGAACCTTGCACAGTGTTGAGAAAGCAATCATCTTAAGTGCATGAGTTAAAAAACTTTGAAGAGGAGGCCTGAATTCAGTGCTATGTCCCAAAATTTGCTTTTATACCTTTGCTCCAAAATCTATGACAAATAGAGAAACTGTTACCTAGCTTAGTAGCTTCATGTTGGCAGAGTACCAGGTGATATAGATGCCCATTAACTACCTAATCTCTCAGTGCTGTGGCCAGAAATTCATCTGACGCAAGCTGATGCCTGTGACCAGCTGGGTGGGGTCTGGTGGGTGAGCACCATGGACAGGGCCTGCTTCCTGCCTGTCCAGAACACTTTGGAAGTAATACTTTGCAAAATAATCTTGATTGAATGACATAAAAGATATAGACTGCAAGTCTTTATTTACTTTCACATCTTGGAGCAGCTAAATGTTTTGATCAGATGCCATTCATCTGTTCAGTGGCCATCCCAGTTCATCAGACTTGGTATTTTAGCAGAAATAATTTTCTGGATTTTATGGCAAATGTTGTATGGCATCTTTTTGGAAATTAAGTCCAGACAAGAAACACTATCTATAATACCCATTTCACTCTGAATAAAAAGCGAGTGCCCTGACTGTCATCAAAGCAGTCTTCATGGAACACATGCCCAAGAAGTCAGTGATTTTTCTGCATACGTAGGTAATACAGTAATACAGAAAGTTGGCATGTATCCTCACAAGTAGTGTCATCAGGAAAGGTTTCAGAGCCTGGATTTAATGTAATATATGCTCACTTTTTGTTGCGTAGTATTTCAGTGTGCAATTGCTTTGCCTCTGTTGTGTGACTACCAGGGGTAAATTTTAAGGGCAATTCTGAGCTACCTGGCAGCAGGGTGAATTACAACCTAACATCACACAAACCCTTTTGGCGAAAGGTACAACTGGCAAGGTACAGTTGGAAAGATTTTGGTTGCATTCAAGATCTTGGTTTTTCTTGTTTAGTGACTGGAAGGTAGAATGAGTTATCTCTAGTACATGCCTGATACACAGATCAAGAAACACATTGGCACTAATATTAGCATTGCTTAGTGTACATCTGCCTCATACAGCATCTTTGTCTATATGTGCTTAGTTTCTTGGGATTAAATCTTTGCTTACTGTAGGCATAAAATTAATTGGAGGAATTTAGTTCTGTAGAATTTTTTCCTTCTCAATTTCATGTCAGTACCACGGAAAAACATACGTAGCAAAGAGTCATCTATATTCCTCAGCTACCCTGCTTAGCAGCTTACCATTTATTTTGGAAAGCCAGTTTCCATTGACTTAAATCTTCGGTACCTTCTCACAGAGGATTGTGCATTTGCAAGCTCACTTCCATCAATCCTTTTCTCAGCCAGTTCCCTTCTGAATCAGTATGAATAGCAATCAGTGTGGTCCATCACTATGGAGACTTGTGGTCCAGTGGTATATGGCCAGTGATAAGCTTCATGTTTTCTCTTATGCTGAGCTCAAAGCAAATTATGGATTAGCACAACTAATTGAGAGGGGAAGCAAACGTACTGACTATTTTGCAGAGGCATATGACAGATTTTCAGTATCACTACAGGTGTCATAACACTGTGAGTGTGTTTCTCTTTAAAAGTTGTCGTACCTTTTGACAAGCTGTCCCCATAGTTATGTGGAGTTCTCGTGAAAACATCTACTAAACATAGTAAAGTGGTAGCCCAAAAGGCATCCCTCGTATATCTGCGTGGGTTATAAGCCCTTGAGTACTGAGGGTGACTGAACGCTGGCACAGGTTGCCCAGAGAGATGGTGGGTTCTCTGTCTGTGGAGATATTCAGAAGCTATCTGGACATGATCCCAGGCAACCTGTGTGCTGTCAAGATCCTCTACATCTCTTCCATAGGTCACTGCTGCATTTTACAGAAAGCATGCTTCCATTTTTTCAGACTTATTACGGGCTTTTACTTGGCACAGGGTATAGCTTATATACACAATAAAGATGATCCTGTTTAAATCTATTGTTGTATTTACGTTCACTGTTCTAATGAGAACTGCAATAAACACGTTTACCATAGGTGGATGTTCACTTTGTTAAAATTTGTATATCCTACATTCCTTGTTTAAAAGTATTTTCCTTCTGGCTATGCAAAACATTTAAAACAGTAAAATTAAAAGAAGGTATAGATAACTGTTCAGGGAATAGTGAAATAGTACATATGTATTACTGTGGGAGAACAAATGCTGCATATTCACACAGCTTTGATTTGTCCCCTTGCCTGTTAAAATGAAGTACTGTTTTTTTAAAAATTGTATGTTATCACATAACTAAGTAGTGTATGTATGCAAAACTGGGGCGGTGTTAAAACTGAAATAAGTTCTGCTACCTTGTCTCAAGATGTCCTGATTTTTTTGTACTCAACTGATTAATGTGTAACACTTTTTGTACTGCTAAATCAACATTACAAATATACCTGCTGTATGGCTACTTTATTGAATTAAAAAATAGGGATGACAGAAAATTAATAAGGAGGAAATCAAGCAAGCATTTGTTTTTCAAAAAGAGCCAACTTCATTGCTTCATAACCAGGTGGACAAAGTCTGGTTTTGAGGAAGTGTATGAAACAGAAAGGAAATCCTTTCCATTTCCTTTGCATACACTTTATGCATAAAAAAGAGCAATGTGTAGGGGAATGCTTGGCAAATTTTCAGTAAACAGTTGTCTAGGTGTAAAGAGTCACATAATTCTGAAAACAACTTACATAAAACCTTCTACTTCGGTTCTTTCCTTTATGTTTATTCAGAGGACGTTTTTGATACATTCTCACCTTACTTGATGCCAATTTTCTTATGTATGCCTGCAGTGTTTATGAAGGTGCCCCTATTTTATCTGTGTGCTCTTATAAATGTGTCAGGTTTTTAGCTTTACTTTTAGACTATTTGAAGTCTTGCTGGACCTTTCTCCGGAAATGAGTACAGCCAAGATACATCTATATTTAGGGCCTAACAAAGTATAGTCTGATTTTTGTCATGCACACTGTTGTATTCTCACTACTTTTTGCTATTGACTTACTGGCAATGATGTTTTATGTTTTTTAAGGTGTCTTCTCATATAGCATCTGTGAAATCTGTAAATTATTTTTTTCCTCTTCAGTAATTCCATTGAGAAATGTTTTAAATCTCAACCCTTGTGTTTGGTATGAGCTCTTGCATATTTTTCTGGTTAATATTGCATCTTCAGCACATTCAATTTGTAGTTCTGTTTTAGATACCAGGTCTCATTAGTGTTACCTTTTTTCTACAGACTGGAGAATTCTCAGCTCGCTTCCTCTTGAAGTTGCCTGTAGATTTCAGCAATATTCCTACATACCTTCTCAAGGTAAAATGAATGTCTAAGTTGACATTATTTGTGTGAATTATTGAAATGTTCGTAGTAACTATTTTGACTTTCCTGCCCTTCTCCTTTCCAAGAGTTTGAAAGTCTGTCATTTCTAAACCTGGCTGGATTAAGTTTTGGAAAGGTGATGTTAGATATACTGTTGTTTTGCATGCTGTTTTACCAGGTCGTAAATATATACCTATCACTTTAAAGGACCTTGCAGGATTTGGGTTGTTTTAGAAGATGGCATGCAATGCAGATGTTCTCGGTTTTTAGACAATATGATAAGTAGCAAACTCTTGACCATATCCAAGGTATTATCTTGGGGAATAAAATCAAATATTTCCAGATAAACTCTTTTATATGAGTCTATGGAATTTCATGCTATGCAAGTTCTGGGTTTTTTAATGAACAGTCCAATTGTACCAGTAGTCTTGATAGTAGAAGCAGAAAAGCAAATATACCAACTAAATATACCATTTCTTAACAGGAAGTGAAAATAAATACTAATGACACAAACTGAAGGTTATGATTATTTCTTCGCTTCATTGTTTACAATGAACAGTAATTTGACCATGTACTTTAGAAAGTAGGACTAGGACTATAGAGTATTGATGTGAATTGGATAAAAGTATTTCTTTCTTTGCTAAGAGAAAAAAAACAAAAAAAAACAAACAAAAAAACAAACAATAACAATAAAAATCTTGTGACAAACTACTAACACGGAATAATTTGAAATGAGTGGTTTTCATAGCAGGAGGACAGTGACTCTTTGAAGCAGTTGCTGTGGAAGCCCTTCATAAGGTCAGTGTTACTATATTCAGAGAATGCAGTGAAAGATCCGGGTTCTCTCTGTCGATCGTTACTGTTAGAATGAAATGCCAGAACTTCTACTGCAGACAAGGTTTGAGTCAGCTGATGTTACCAACACCCATCTTTCCTTTAAACTGCATGTCTGCCTCCTTATTCAGCTTTTTACTTTTAAATATCTGTAAAGATGAACAGCTACTTAATGGTAGCAACTAATATGTTGAAATGAAAATGTGAGTGCAGATCCCACTACCTTCTCTTCATCTTATTGTTAGAATTGTCTTCAGCTATTGTTAGATCACAATTGCAAATGTGAACCTTCAGTGTTTTTCCAGATCAGTTGTCCTGAGTTAGGAACCGTGAAAATAAAGGCAGGCGCAACTATAATCTCACAGAAACTTTGGTCATAGTCAGAGATTGGTATGCTATGATCTCTTTCTTTCTGTAGACTGTTTGCCGTTTAATGAGCTGCTCCTAACTTTCTCAAAAGCATCCAGATATTTTCAGGTTGTTCCTGTGTTTACAGTAACAGCCCTTCTCCCAGCTGCTGCCTTTCATTAGGGCCTTCTCTTCTCACTTGATGGGAACATTTCCAGTCAGATTTAGAGGGTTGGCCAAGGCCTTTTCATGAAGGATAGCGTTGAGGAGAGGTTGCATCAACAGTTCACCTTGACTACAGGATAACTGTGATTTGCTTCTGAAAGACTTTGTGTCAGAAAGGAGACTGAGAATGTCTTAACATGAACAATGTTATCTGCTCCTGTCAGAACTCCAAGTGCCGTATTTTTCAGGAAAAACTTTAAATTGGTAAAGAATTTCAGGGCAAGTGCATACCCAGTATGTTCAATAGGTTCAGTCACAGATGTGTGTTATGCCTCTGGGGAAACCGCATGGCTTGTTGGTTGGAAGGTGGTATATAACTTAGGTAAGTAACTGTCATCATGTAGGAACTCTGTGATAGAGACAGATTCTACTTTTGTTTCTAAAGAATAATGTTTTAATGCATGACAGCATACCTCCTTCTTACTGTAATTCCCTGAAGTGCTTACTAAACATCTTCCACCTTCTCCAAACAAAGTTGTTAAACTGCAGATAAATCATCAGTGTTCCACAACTGCTTCCCGGAGTGTTGTTCACCCTGAGTACTGAAAGATTCATTAGTCTGAAGGAAAACATGTATTTTGCATGCATATATTGATTGTGTGATGTGAAGAGGCACACACAGAAGGTAGTAGATTAAAAGTTTCCCAGTCTACCTTTATTTTGACATTTCTAAAAACTTAATGTCATAGCTTTGGTATTTTAAAATTAATTTATGTAATAACCTGGGTTTTTACAACAGCAGATCCTTCTTGATGGGCAACGTACTGATGAAATCCTTACCTTTCTTAGGCAAACTTCTACTATGCAAAATGATGGGTTAACTGTCTGTGGTAGAAAGGCGATATGTAGTCTGGATGAGTAGCCACAGGAGAAGAAATATTCTTTTATTCCAGTAGTATTTGTTGATGGCAGAAGAATGATTTGACTTAGGCTCCAGCATGGACTGTGACAGAGTACTCTGTAGCAGCCATGAATCTTTTACCCCCACTGCCTTTAGCTCCTTATATTCTGACATTGTCAGCTATATGAATGTCATCTCATATGACAACAATATAAAGGCAGGTAGAATTGGAACTACTGCGTTGATGGTTGAAATGATTATGGTCTGATTACTCCAAATTCATAAAGCTATTTTAAAAAATTCAATTTTCTTTTAAGCTGTCCATGTCTTCCCTATTTCATTTTTTTTTGGATGAGATTTTTGACATAGATTTTTGATTTGTTACAATAAAATAGGAGTTTATTTTCCATTGTGTCTGCCAGGTATGTTGTCTTCAATGCTACCTGCTGGATCATGGTGCATAATAGAGCATCTATTGACATGGTGGAAATAATTGTTGATATATTATCGTGAAAGGTGGAAGAACAGTCAGTAATTGAAGGCTGTTAACAATTAACAGCTTAATGTTCAAATGCAGAATTTAATGTGTTTGAATTTTGTTCTGGTCTATAGCCAGTCTTACAGAGTGCAGTAGCTTCACTGTAATGATTTGCAAAGTTCACCTGTGTTATACTTTCTCTACCGTCTTCTTTTTTGAAGTTTAATTAATGCTACTTGCGTTAAAATCTGGTGAAATATTGAAAACCATTATTTTTGCCTCATCAATCACTCCTAGTACACCAGTGATATGTAATGCTCTCCTGAATTTTTTACTGATGTCAGTAGGAAATCACCCTACAAGTATGACTGTAAAACTTTGTATAGTAAGTCAATATTCAGGTTTGAGGCAGTCTGTAGAGTTACAGAATCTTTGGAGTTCTTGAGAATATACTCCAGAATCATAAGATTTTACTCTGGCAACTTTGTACTGATGGTGGTGAGAGTATTCTCCTTTCCCTATAAAGAATAAAAATTTGAAGATGCAGCATAAGTTGGGTTGTTATAAGCCAGAAAGATGGATTTACCAGTTTATTTTAAAGGTATTCACTGCACTGAATTTAAAATTCAGTTCAGTTGTATGTGCGTTTTAAGGAAGGTAGTTTAGTGTATGAAGAGCAGCGAGAGTGATTAAAAGAACAGTGCAGAGTACACTCTCTTCCTTTGAATTCTGAAATTCTAATAAAAGTTCTTCAGTTATTATTTGGAAACACAACTCTTGTAATGGCTGCAGCAGATAAATCTTTTTTCATAAGTTTACTTGGCATATTCCTTCATGTTTGAAAGAAAAAGTATCATTCTTCTATTTTCCAAGCAGTTCCAAAGAACTGTTCAAAAAGAAATGTTGGTTTATAGTGAAAAATTATATTCGGGAAAAGACACAACTGCATTGTTTTTTCCTTTACAAAGTTATACTGTAATACAAACAGTTTGAATTGAAGTGTGGACCAGTTTTGCATTGTTTTCTTATGCAAATCATTTTGACAAATTAAAATTTTAAGTGTTGAAAGAACTGCAGAATAAAGATGGTGGCTCAAACTACTGCAAGGTTTGTTATTCATAAGTCTTTCATTAAGGTTCTCTTATTTGACAAGAACGTGGCTTTCATTCAGGAAAATCTTTACATCTATATCTGTGTACTGTTATACTTTCCCTTTCTTGCAATTTTATTTTTAATCAGCACATTAATTTTGGCTTAAATTGTTTTCTGTCAGTTGCAACATTTTTAATTTTTGCCACAGCATTTTATAAATTATTCACTCTACATATTGGTTGTGAGGGTCAGTCTCTAGTTCCCATTTGTGCCTCTGCAGATACTATGTATGCAACAGTAATAATGAAGGTAATAGACTTAGCATGTAAAATACTTCATCCAAATTTTGGTTCACTCTTTGTAGTCTTGGTCAGCAACAGGGACATGTGTTATCGTAATGATAACTCATTAAATATCTCCAGCCCAGTAATTTACAAATTGTACTGGATTATATGACTGTAGTATGATTGCACAGTATGAGTGAACTTAGAGTATGTTGCCACTGATGCTGTTGAAAACAAGACATTTAGATATTTTTCTTTTATGTCTATGTCTTTTTGAGGTTTTGGCTAAGTAAGATGTGCCCTGATTACCACCACTGTCTTGTATGTAATTTTTAAAGTATTCATTTCCTATTCTTATGTACCTGCTGTTTGTGTCCTGGTGAATAGCTAATATCTGGACCAATTTAGCTATGACACTGTGACCAGCAGCCTTCCAATAATTTCTTACTATTCAAGTATAAAGGAAACTATGCAAAGCAGACCTAATTTATTTTTGTAGAAGATTTAAAAAAAATACTTAAACCCGTTTTTTCTGAAGAGATTTTTTTTGTGATGACCACTGTATTTAGTGCGTATCTTTCAGAACTGAAACAAATAACAGACATTGTCTAGACACATTGCCAGGGGCCAAACAGTTGTGTGTAAGACTGTCAATGGAAAAAGTTTATCCTCAAGTTCAAATTGAAAGATAAGAATGTAGTTGTGTTTTTCCTTACTGTGATTTCATCATTTGGAAGTCTGTTAAAAGACTTCAGTGCAACGTTTGTTTACAACGTAGACCAAATTCCAAGTACTGTGAAAAGACTGCAATACTTGTGTATGTTTGAGTAATCAACTGTAGTGGAGAACAAGCAGAAGTTAAGTATAATATGCAGGGTCAAATGAGATTTTT